CGCCGCCGCGGGCACGCCCCTCCCCTGGCCACGCCCCTCCCTGACCACGCCCCCGGCTGCAGGCCACGCCCCTCACACGGGCCACGCCCCTCTCCTCTGGACACGCCCCTCCTCAGGCCGCGGCCGCCCCGCCGCCGTCAAGCCCCGCCCCTCGCTAGAGCCACTCCCATTTCTCTCAAGGCCCCACCTCCTCCCCGCGCAGGCGGCCACGCCCCTTCCCAAGGTCACGCCCCCTTCTGACGTAAGGGGCGGGGCGGTGCTGGCGCCGCCCACACGGTGCCGCCGGGGCTCCGCCACGTCCCGGCAGCGGAGGTCGCTGCGGGCCCGGCCCCGCCGCCGCCTGTAGCCCCAGAGCCCATATGACGCCTATAGTCCCAGAGCCCCCAGAGCTCCTGTAGCCCTTATAGCTCCAGAGTCTCTGTAGCGCCTATGTCCCCACAGCCTCCACAGCTCCTTTAGCCCCAAAGCCCCTATAGGCCTCATAACCCCTATAGCTCCTACAGCCCTCGTAACCCCTATAGCTCCTACAGCCCTCGTAACCCCTATAGCTCCTATAGCCCCAGCGTCACTATAGCCCATAGCCCAATAGCTCCAGAGCCCCAGAGCCCCTATAACGCCTACAGCCTCGAGGCCCCTGTAGTCCCCATGACCCCTATAGCTCCTATAGTCTCCCTATAGCCCCCTAACCCTCATAACACCCATAGCCCGTTTAACCCCGGAGCCTCCAGAGCCCTCGCAGCCGCTCTAGCCCCGGAGCCCGCCGCGCACCCCGGCGCGCGGGGCCGCGCGGGGCCGGCCGGGCGGTGGCAGCACCGGGACGCCCGGGAGGAGCCGCCGCCGCCGCCGCTCAACGCGCACGGAAAGCGCCGGGAGCGGCAACGCGCCCGGGACCGCGAGCCCCGGCACCCCGCGCCCGGGGCCGGGGGCTGGAAACGGGCACCGAGCGGGGCGCTTGGGCTGCCCGGCCCCGGCCCCGCACGAGCAGCGGGAGGAGGAGGAGGAGGAGGAGGGCGCGGGGGGAGGAAGGCCCCGGCTGGGCGCTGAACAAAGCGCCAGATGGCCGCGCCGGCCGCACAATGCGCTGGAGGGGCTGGCACCGGCGGTGCGAGCGCGGAGAGGGGGAGAGGGGAAAGGGGGGGACGGAGAAAAGCCCTTGGCGAGTGTCAGGGCAGAAGAAAGCRCCGAGAAAAATGGCAAGTGTTGGAAAACAAAGCGCCGGGTCCTCCCCCGGCACAAAGCGGCCGCCGAACATCTGTGCGCCCGGCCATGGGCACGTGCTCAGCSAGAGACACGGCCCTCCCGACCGTCCTCTCCTCTCCTTCCCGCGCAGACACGGCTGGAGGGGACGAGTGATGCACCAGGAACGTTGTCCTGGCTCACAAGCAGACCCTGAGGTGCCATCCCAGGGAATGGAGSGACATAGAAACACCATGTAGGCCCAAAATGCCAACCCAGGGATGAGCAGACCCTGAAACAGCATCACAGGCGACAAGTGGACCCCAAAACCTCATCCCAGGGGACAGRGAATCTCAGAAGTGCCATCCCAGGGGATGGGGAGACCCAGAAACAGCATCTCTGGGTGGTGAGACCTGGAAACTCGCTCCCGGGGGGATGTGGGAGCACCCAGTGGCCGGGCCATCGCGGGGACAGCGGGTGGCTTCCAGGCAGATCCATGCACCGAACACGCTTGGGTGGCAGGGAGACGCGGCCCCGGGGTGGGAGCAGCAGCGAGCGGGAGGCCGTGGGCCAGGACAGCGGGGACATCGCGGGGCGATGCCACCCTGGGGGGCCCGACAGCGGGGACCAGGGACGCCGCCGTGCGGGGCAGGGGGCTGGGGACCTCAGCGATGCCACCCCGGGTGCGGGGGCCGGCGGCGCCGCACAAAGAGCGGGGCCGCCCCCCTCCCGGGGCCGCCCCCGCTCCCGCCCCCGCCTCGGGGCCGCCCCCGCCGCCGCCCAATAAACGCGGCCGCATTTGAACCGGACGCCTCCCCGCGAGCCGCGCCCGGCCGCGGCACCGCGAGGCTCCGCTCCGCACCGGGAGGCTCCGCGCACCGGGAGGCTCCGCGCCCGGTGAGCTCCGCGCGAACGGAGGGGGTCCCCGGGCCCCGCGGCGGGGAGCGGCCCCGCCACCGGGGTGCGCTGGGGTGGGTTGGAGCAAGGGGGAGTCCCGGGGTGCCCTGGGGGCGTGTGTGGGGCCCGGGGGGTGCAGGGGGCTGCTCCGCAGCGGCGGGGGGCTCCCCGAGCCGCCTGCGTCCCCGGCAGCGCCGCGGGCTGGTGCTTCCTGTGCAGCCTCTCCGTCCTCCGGGGCTGCCTGCAGCTTCCTCCCAAAAATAGCGCCTCACCCGCCCCCCCACCCCGGGGCCTTCCTCTTCCGAGAGGTGCTTAAAACGCCCCAAATTCCCCCAAAGGCGGAGGCGGAGGGAGGGGAACTCCGGCTGCCGCGTCCCGGTTCCGCCGGCGCCTCCGGCAGCGGCCGGGGCGAGGGGGGGCGGCCCCGGCGGCGCACGGAAAGTGGGTCGCGATGCGGACACGGACGTGGAGCCTCCCCTCTGGTCCCTGTGACTCCCGTTAGTGCAGCGAGCCCTGGGCCCCCTCCTCGCAGGCTCYGTTGGGATGTGAAGGCTGGAAGTGGGTGGGGGGGTTCGGCCCTTTGGGGCTCATCGCAGCCCCCCCCAGGCACCCCGGGCTCCAGCTCAGCCTCCCAGAGTCTCCTGTGGGGCCTCCTTGTCCCTGTTGTGGGGGCCAGGCCAGCGTTGAGCAAAAAGCTTTAACATGGGGCTTAGTATGGCGATTCCCAGGGGCTGGAGCAAGCGGACGCAGCTGGGATGGATGAGGCAGCTCGTTAAGGAGAGAAGTTAACGAGGCAGGTGAGGCCCCCAGCATTAGCCTTGTGTTTTGGTGCTGGGCTCCAGAGGCGTTTTCGGAGCAGGGCTGCTGCGCCRGGTGGGATGTGGGCAGAGCCTCCCTCCCTCCCATGAGCCTTACTGGAAAGCTCCTTCCACCAGAAAGCAGCCCGTGCGCYGCTTGTGTTTTGCATTTTGGCACCAGAAAGTGCCCTGCAGCCTGCGCTGGCTTTGCTTGGTCACACTGCTCGCGGAGCAGGTGATCCGTGTCCTTGGGGACCTTGGAGGCTGCTGTTGAGGCCGGGCCTGAGTGGTGGCTGCTGCTTCAGCCTGAGCTCTTGGAATTAAATTTAGCTGCGAGGGCTCTACAGCCTCCCGGGAGGCCAGGTGAAAAGGAGGCAAAGAAATGCTGGTGAAAAGCTCTTTTCCTTGTCATGCGAGTGAGGGCTTGGCCTCTGCAGCAGCCTTCTAGGGAGGTCAAGGAGCCTGCCCTGGAGGGACTGCAGCAGGTTTATAACTCCAAGYAGTTTCCCTGAGCCTGTTTTCCTTGGAGCCATTTGTGGGTGGCTTTGGGGTGATGCTGAGCTTGTTGGATGACCCTGTGTGAAGCAAGGGCTGTTGTGGAGGGCATGTTTCCATGTGTTATCCATGGGCTCCTGAGCTCTCCTGGGGCTGACAGTGTCAGCAGGAGACTCTGCGTCTCCCTCTGTGTCCTGCCTGGCCAATCCTCTCCCCAAATGTTGGGCTTGGGAGTTCCCTGGTCCCTGTCACTTGTGAGCAGAGGGTGAAAAGTAACCGGGGCTGGAGCTGGAGCAGTGCAAACGGGCACTGCGGCATCGAGGACATGGCCTGTCTGCTGCAACAGGGGCTTCCCCCGGGACTCCCAGACCTAATTATCTGCCTGTGCTCTTGGGGCAGCATTTTCCAACTCATCCTGCTGCTGAGCACCCGCTGAGGTTCACGTGGCAGCGTTGGTGCCCTAGAAGTGCAGGGAAGGGGCTGGGCGCGGGGGCAAGGAGACGGGGCCGGGCCCAGGAGCGCGGGTGGCTCCGGCAGCCCCGYGCACAAAGGCCGCTTTGTGGCCGTGTCCCTGCAGGCAGGAGGGGACRCTCCGGGGGCGACCTCCTGCCGGGGTGCCGGCACTGCCTGGCGCACGGCATGGGGATCTCGCCCCTCTGCTGCCGGTGCTATCCGGGTTAGCCGCGCATGCTGTGGAGTTGCTCCCGGCTGGATAAGGGACACGGAGGCTCCCTGTGCTGCTGAGCTCATCCCAGCTGCGAGGTGTATTTCCTCCGTGCTGATGCAGCCCGAGCGTCACCCAAAGCACCCGGGACCGGTGACAATCCCGCGGACGCCGCTTGCAGCCGCCTCACGGGCTGCCTCTCTCCACAGGCGAGCGCCGCGGGCTATGGGATGGACGAAGCGGAGCAGGACCAGTATGAAGTGCGCCTCAAGGAGCTCTTCGACAGCTTTGACGGCACCGGCACGGGCTCGCTGGGCCGGGAGGAGCTCRCCGACCTCTGCCACGTGCTGCACCTCGAGGAGGTGGCCCCGGTGCTGCAGCAGACGCTGCTGCAGGGCAATCTCCTAGGCAGGGTAAGGCCKGGGGTACGGGCAGGGGTTGGGGGGTGATGGAGAGGCTGGATGGGGGTCCTGCCCTGGGCAGGGCTGCACCGGCCGCTGGGAGCTGCCAGTGGAGCAGTGGGTCTATCCCTAGTAGCTGCTGCCCCTGTGCAGGGGCTTCAAATCCCTTGGCGAGGCCCTTCTGCAGACCTCGCTGGGGGTGTCACCCACGCTTCACCCCCAGCTCCCACTACAGAAGCAGGCTGAGGATCTGCCCTTGTTTGAGAGCTTGGGTAGCTTTTCCTGCGGATGAAGGCTTGGTTTCACTTTGCTGTTGCTTAACCTCTTTCATGTACCTTTTTTTTTCCTTTTTTTCCCCCATGCACCCATTTTTGGATTTCTTTGGGGGGGTGGCAAAGCCCCCCATGCAGGAGATCCTGCAGAAGTGCAAAGCAGCCTTGCACCTCCGTCATGGAGAGCTGGGGCCACCTTGGGATGCGGCTCGGAGCCGCTCGGCTCCCGAGCCCTGGGAGCTGTAATCGGAGCTGCCTGCAGGCCCGGGAAGCCACCGAGGGGCCCGCGATGGCYGACGGTGGCCAGTGGGGACAAGGGCGGCTGCGTCCCTGGGGACTCGAGTGTCACGGGCTGTGCTGCTCCCTTCGAGCCGCGACCGGGGCCTCTGCGGCGAGCACCGCTCTCCAGCACGGCCCCCGAGACACAATAACAATTAAAATGACAATAACAGCTAAAATAGGACACAAGAGCCGAGGCTGCTGTGCTGGAGGTGGCTGAGGCAGCTGCCTTGTCTCGAGTTCCTCGTCGAGCTGCAGCTTTAACAGAGCAAAGCGATCCCCTTGCTCAGCAAGGCCCTTCTGCTTGATCCKTGATGTGGCACCGAGCAGGGCTAAAGGAAAGCAGCCCCAAGGAGAGCCAGGTGCCACCGCAGGAGATGTGACCACCCTCAGGGCTGGTGTGGAGCAGGTGGAAAGCGAAGCTGGACCCGTCAATGCCCAAGTGCCCCCAAAAGCCCTGTTGGAGCATCCTCAGGATGCGGTCCCAATGCAGCAACCCATCCCGGTGAGGTGCCTGAGGTCCTCGCAGAGGGTCCGAGCCCCCTGCCCCAGCAGGGCTGCCCTCRGCAGCCTGCCCAGGACCTCCTGTCCCCCGTTTTGGGGCTGCTTCTCGCCTGCAGCCGCGGCCGCCTCGCGGGATGCCCGGGGACCAGCTGGCACGTGCTATCTTTAATTCAGCGTGCTTATCTAAATCCCGCCGCCTGCCCTGCCGAGGGGCCGGCCGGGCCTGCATACCTCCTCCGCACGCGATTCCGCCCGGAGGCGATGCCGGGAATGGTAATTCCCGGGATTCCAGCAGCCGGGCTGCTTCTGCGGGCTCTGCAAATAGCCGCTGGCTGCAGGCGCTGTCTCGGTGCCTGAGCAGCTGCGGTGGTGGCACATGGACGTGGTGGCARTAGGGGTGACCCAGGGGGGCTTGACTCCCCAAAACTGGTCCTGCTCTCCATGAAGGAGCCCCATAGGAGCTGCTCCAGGGATGCTGTGCAGGGCACAAGCCCCTCAGATGGGTTTATCAGTGCTCAAAGCAAGGTCTGGGCGAGCAGTGTGGGCAGGGGGCTCCTGCACACTTGTTTCCTAGGGCTGTCGTGGCCCTAGCACAGAGGGGACACCCTTGAAAGTGGCAACAACCATCACAAAAGCAAGCAGCTTCGCTGAGCCCCTCGCCACCTCTCTTCAATGCTAAAAATTCTCTGAGGATGCATTTAGCTGCAGGGGAAACTGGGGAGCCGGATCCGCCTGGCCGCTGGCTCGGATAGCTCCCCAGCTGTCCCGGGATTTTCCCGGCACGAGCCTGGCGTGGCTGCCCTGGAAGTGGCTGTGTGGGAAGCTCAGCCGCGGGGCTGTCTGCATCGGGGCCACCTCGTCTCGCCTTTCCTGCAGCCACGTTCCAAACCCGGTATTTCCAGCCTGGCACCGGCCTGGAGACAGGTCCGYGCTGCAGCCGAGAGGGAGCCACTTCCCACCGGCTGCTGCAGCTCCGTGAGGGCCTTCTCACAATGTGATGCCTCCTGCGGGTCCCTGTTTCACTCCTAGCAGAGGCACTGGAAGCCTGCAGCTCATGGAGCGTCAGCCCAGCTGGATGTGCCACCAGCTGGGACATCTCAGGTGGCCTCCACCAGGGTGGCCGGGGCTTCCCTTGGAGCTGGGACCGGTGCATGGGTTGGCACAGGGACTTCTGCTGGAGCCACGGAGATGTTCTCTGGGGAGCACCTATAGGTGCTATGTCAGCTCCTTGGGAGGAAGTGGTGGCTTTGGGTCRCTCTGTGGTTAAAGACTCTTTTCCCAAGCACCCAAACAAGTGCTGACCATGCCTGGACATTGCTCCTGGTGTCCTCTCCAGCCTCACCAGCTGGGTGAGTGCAGACAAGTCCATGCACCTTGCTGAGGTCCTGGTGCACACGGCATCTCTGCTCAAAGCACTGCTGCTGCTCCAAGGAGCTRCTCGCTTTGCAGGCTGTGTTGGTGTAGGGATATCTGCCCAGTGTTTCATTAGCTGCACCAGCTCACCTCCTTTCTTGGCTTTTTCCCCAGGTCCACTTTGACCAGTTCAAAGAAGCACTCATCCTCATCCTTTCCAGGACCCTGTCAAATGAAGAGCCCTTCCAAGAACCAGGTACCAATCATAAATTTTGCTTGGAGAAAAGGGCTTGAGTGGGGTTTTGTGCAGGAATGTAGAGGAGCAAATGCTTCTTGGGCACCAAGATGGGTGTTTCTCTTGCTCTTGGATGAGCAGATGCTTGGACGTAGCAGGGGTTGTGGCTGGCGCTGGAGCTGTGTGCGATTGCGTCTTCTCAGTGGTTAAATCTTTGCATCCCCTCTCCGTGATGGAGATTCCTGGAGACACGTGTGCCACCCTGGAAGGCCTTGAGGAACGTGSGGTGGGCAGCAGGCACCGCAGCACCCAGGCTTCCTGGAGCACCTTGCTGGGAAGCCCAAGACCTGCTGAGTCATTTGGAGGGGAGATGCAGGGGAAGGTCATGCTGCAACATTGGTTGGGGTTTGTGTCCTGTGTAGGAACCTCGTGTGGTTTGGGATGCTGGARGTGCCCCCGGGAAGGGCTGGAGTCCCTTGGCTGCGGCGCTGCTGATGGGACCCAGGGATGCTGCCGCCGTGGCTGGGGACAGGGCTGCTGTGTCCCTGCTCCCCGCGCGTCCTTGGCGCAGGTGCTTGGTGGCAGGAGGCTGGCGCCGGAGCGACGCAACCCCGGCAGCTCCGGCTGCTCGTCCCGAGGCCACCRCGAGTCCCTCGGCCGCGTGACTCCTTCCTGCCCCCGTGTCCTGGGCTTTGCTCTCCTCCTTTGCCGGGTATTCGGGTTAAGGCTCCTCTCYCCTTTCCAAGGAGCCCCTGGGGCAGCAGGAGCGGGGCTGTGCCGGGCTGGTTTAGCTAGAAGCTCGCTGGGTTTTGCAGAGGGTTTTCAAGGAGCTGCAAGAGCCCCTTCCCAACTGCTCCGTGGCCATGGAGGGGTCTGTTGGGATGCGGGACACCCCCCGGCTGGCGGCAGCTGTGCCGAGCGCGGCAGCTGCCCGGATGGACAGGCGGATCCTGCTGGAAAAGCCCCCAGCGCCCTTCCCGCCACGCGCGGGGTGACCCCAATCCCGCGGGAAGCGTCTCCGAGGTGTCYGTGTCTCCCTGGAGACGCCCGCTCTGCCGGTCGCCAGCCCTGCCTGCTCCTCCCTTTGTTCCCGCCTGCCTTTTATTCATTTAATTTTAGGGGTTTTGAGGCTCTCTCCTGGCCCCGGAGGAGCCGTCGGGCCGCCCGGCCTCGGTGGCAGGAGGGCTCCAGCTGGAGCCGCCCTGYGCCGCTCCGGCTGCCTCGCACCTGTATGTAAATCCCTAATCCCGGCTTGCTCCATGGGCTCGGCAGCCCGGAAGGGCTTAGCGAGGGACGGGGCGGCTCGTGCTGTCCTCTCCTTGTCCCCGTCCCCGCGCGCGGCTCGCGGGCAGCAAACAGCAGCATCCCCCAAACCACAACCCCCRGCACCCTATAGATGCAAATGATGGATTTTTAATCTTCCCTCTTATTTTCCAAGCTCCTGGTGTTGCCCTGCGTGTGCCGGCCAGAGCAAGCGGGCACCTTGGCCGGGATTTTGCTGAGCCCTTTGGAGCGCCGGGCGGGAAGGTGGCACTGCAGGGCTAATCCATGTGCCAYGCTCCAGGGTGGCTCCCGAGGAGCTCCAGCTTTATTAAATATAACTAAATCCCTGCGGAAGGGCCCGATTTGGGGCTGGAAGGCTGCAGGAAGAGATGCTCCYGGGCAGTTCTGGTGCCGCAGGTGGCCAGGCTCGTGCCCACCGGGCATTTATTTTTAATGTGTTTTGACAGGTTGCCCAACGCAGGAGCCGGTGCTGCTTTTAATTTAGATCAAACCGGAGATTTGGGGAACAAGCTGCTTTGTGTTGCCGGTGTCAAACTGTCAGCCCCGGGCCGAGGGGGAGGGGATGAAATGAAGAGCTCAAAACGGGACAATTTAAATGAAAATCTAATTTGCAAAAAGAGCGTGGAAAAAAATCTCGTTCCGCCTTAATGCGGCTCCTAGGGGCTGCGTTTGGGGTGGCTGCTGCGATGCTGGGGTTGATGCTTGGTCCCCTTGACAGGGAGGACCAGACCCATCCCTGGATTTGCAGGGCTTGGAAATGACTTACCCAGTGCAAAAAGAGGGCAAATGTTTAACCGCGTGCTTAATGTTTAAGGTGGAAAGAGGAGACGAGGCCCCGCTGTTTAATTAGAGGCCGGCTCCAGCGCCGCCTTGCTGAGCTTGGACTTGCCAGGGGCTGAGCAAAGCGGGGAGGCTTCGACCTATTTTCTGTCTCTGCTTTTTCATTCCCGTCCCGCTTGGGTTTCCGCGGTAGCTCGAGTGTGCAGAGCACAAACTGGGGGTGCCCTGCGTGCACCCGCATCCCTCCTGCTTCCCAGGCAATTCTCACCCAGCCTTCCCGTTTGGATGGTGATGGGAGCCCGAGCTCCCCATCCGGAGCGGATCCAGGCTGCAGGAGGCTCTCCCTTGCAGAAGGCATTCGGATGCCAGGGCTGTGCACACAGAGAGGGGCAGAGGTGCCAGCGCCTGGAAACAAAAGCAGCAAAGAAACCCTTCCCTTTGGCTGGCAAAAGGCACTACGGCGGGGCAGAAAGGCACCTGTGTTTCCACGTGCAGCATGATTTTTGCAGCTCCGCGGTGCTTATGTGCAGTTAAATTAGCTTGGGAATGTGTGATTGTATAGAAATTGAGGAATATTTTAGCAATAATCCCATTATTGCTAAATTCCTACTTATTTCTCCTCAATCTTTGCAGTAGCAGACAGTGGCAGAGGAGCATCCTTGTGTTTGGAAACAGGTTTTTTGTTTTTTTTTCCTTCATGGAAAAATGTAAATCTCCCTGCAACCTTCTTGTGCAAAGGAGGAGAATAAATGTACAGCGAGGCGGGGGGAGCCACAAATATTAGCATTTCAGAGGGAGCTGCGCGCTGCAGATTGCTCACCACCGGGCAGCTTTAATAGGAGCGATAAGGTTGGCTTTTGTTCTGGGGCTGCCGCTTAATCAGGCTGCCTCGGCGGGATTTTTGTTCCCTGTCCCTCTCCTTCCTTGCCCAGCTCTCCCGTGTGAGCTCTGGCCGTGGTGGAGCTTGTTAAAAGGGCCCTGTTCAAAGAGGGGTGCTGGGCTCGGTCCCTGGAGCTGCTGCTCACGCTGCACAATCAAAGCCCTCCCAGGCCTGTGTGCTTTATAATTCAGTGCATTGCCGAGTTGCAGGAGGTTGCTTTCTCTTCCCCTCTGTGCATCCCAAGGAATTTGAGCTGGGAAGGGGCAGGGGGGTTGCAGCCCCGCCGGCTTCCCCCTCCTTGTTAGTGCTGGCCGCTTGCATTGATTTTTTTTGCACCTTTGCAAATAAAATTTTGAAGAGATGATGCTCGTGATGCTGTGATGATGATGCTCATGAGCAGGTCCTGGGGGAGCTTTGACAGCCAGATTAGCCAGCGGCAAACGAGCCTTCCCCTAATTGAATCCCTAGCTAATTTGGGCATCGACGAAGTTCTCCCTGTACCCTGGGCACCCCAAGAGCCTCTCAAAGCAGCCCCGAACGCACAGGGTTGTTCTTCGCTCCGGTTTCGCGCGCGYTCGGTGCCGTTCCCGTGCTCACGCTCCGATCCCTCCTCGCAGGTTCCTCCCCGGAGGCGCAGCCCAAGTTCGTCAAGGGCGGCAAGCGCTACGGGCGCCGCTCGCTGCCCGAGGCGCCGCGGGCACCGCCRCCGCTCGCCGTCATCGAGGCGCCCCGCGAGGACTCGCCGCTCGGCGCCCGCGAGGTGAGCGAGCGCCGCGCGCCCCCGGCACGTCCGTGTGCCGTTCCGTGAGCCTGCCGAAGCGCCGGAGGCTGCAGCCCCAACAAAGCGCCGGCCTTTTCCCAGCCTCGTCCCGTGGCGCTGGCTGCTCCTGCCAGGCCCTGGGAACTGGGGCACCCGCTTAATTGGCACCTCTTTCAACCCGTGCCAAGCGCAAGGGCCCGGGCGCTGCTGGAGAGGCTCCCGCTGCCGTCTCGCCTTGCGGAGCCGGGGAGCAAACGGGGCCAGGCCCAAAGTGGGTGCACTGGTTTGCACCGATTTCCCATCATGGGAGATGTCCTGTGCCGGAGACAAGGGCTCTGGGAAAGGTGCTTCCTCCTTGTGCTGCAGGGCCCTGCTGTTTTCCCGGGAGCTGTATCCCGGCTGGATGAGCATGCCGGTCCACCAGCAAGCGTGCCAGGAGCGGGGGGAGATTCAGGGCCCCAAACACGGGTGCRAGGGATCCCCTCGCCATGTGCGCGCTAGAATGGCCCCAGTGTGCGCTYCTGATCACCATTTTAATTAGCCATATATCCTGGTGGGGAACAAAGGTCCGTCTCGCGGGAGCAGATGGCGGGGAGGGAGAGGCTGCCCCGTTGTTGTGGGCAGGGGCCCCGGCGGGCGGCGCGGGCTGCAGATGCTCGCCCGGCCGCGGCGCGGGGAGCATTGAAAGGGGCGACCATCTGCCCGGATAATGCATTCCCCAAATCCGTGCGTGCCGCGTGYGTGCGGGGCCCGGCGCCCCCGGGCAGCTGGAGCCACAATGCGGTGCGTGGCCCCCCCGGGAAGCTGCTCCCGGGGAGGGGATTCCAGGCTGGGGAGCGGGGCGGGATGCGCAGCAGCTTCTCCTGCCCCTGATCCCCCCTGCTCCTGGAGCGGAGCGAGCTGGGCAGGGATGTGTGAGCTGGGATGCGCTCCAGTGCATGGGCTGCTCTGCTCCCGCAGGGGGGACTTGGTGGGACCTGCTGCTCGGGGCGTATTTAGCTTCTCCGATGGCTCGTCAGCAGATTGCGCTTGCACTTTGGTGCTCGCTTGGGCCAGCGCGTGCAGCTCCGCGCAGGACTTGCCGTGTTCTTGGCTTTGTCCCGGGCGAAGCAATAGCTCTGGAGCGCTGCTGCTGGCTGAGGAACGCRGGGCAGCCCAACAGGCGCCGGGCCCCCTTCGTGCCCCTGCGGCTGCCCGTATCCGTGCTGGGCACGCGCTTCCCGTCGCCTCCCCAGCGGGACACGCGCGGGCGCCAAGCTGCTGTTTCACCAGCCGGGATGTGATGAAACAGAAGCCACGAGCAGGGCTTAAAAAAGAAAAAAAAAATACAAGGAGAAAAAAAAAAACTAAACCTAGCATGACCTAATCCAGTTGCCATGGCAACAGGGCAGATTAATGGCTTTTAGCGGTAAGCTGAATGAGACGCAATGAACTTTTATGTGATGATTTAGAGCCTCTTTATGTCCTGGGTGGCTCCAAGCGGGAATCAGTCTGTGACGTGGATGGGAGCGTCCGCACGAGCGCGGAGCAGCATCTGTCCATGCTGCTGGAAGGGGAGCCGGCAGCTCCAGGATGAAACCCGTCCTCAGCGCTGTGCGGGCATCCTTGGCGYCCTGGCTCGCTTGGATGGTTTGGAAGCAGCGACCTCCTTCCCCCATTCTCACAGTCTCACCTGCCTCTCCATCGGGCATGAGGTTTTAGGGCTTTGCTGTGATCCCTGGGGTGTCCCGGCTGGAATGCCGCATGTGCCACAGACATCACCAAAACACCCATGGAGACGCARGTGAAAGGTTCCTAGGAGCCCAGGAGCTCAGGTGATGTCCATCATGGGCTCTTCTGCATGGACAAAGCCTCAGGATAACGTGGGGATCCTCTGTTTTCTCCTCAGCACTGGGAGTCCCGGGACAGCGAGGAATATGAGGCCGAGGGTAAGAGCAAGGACCTGTGTTTGCTTCATCCCCCCCAGCTGGAATAAGGATGGTCCCTGGCTAAGGATGGGCCCTGAATAAGGGTGGTCCCTGGCCAAGGATGGTGCAAGGTGATGGCCAAGGATGGTCCCTGGCTTTTCACTGCAGCAGGATGGGTGGAGCGGGGTGGTCARATGGAAGGTGGCACAGTGGTCACTAGATGTCATCATGATTTGATCCCTAGTTACCTACCCCAGTGCAAGGAGGGTTCACAAGGGGGTTGTTCCAGGGAGAGACCCCAAATCTGCTTGCTCGGAGGCCTGAGAGTTGCTCCAAAGCTGCTCCATGCTGGAACATGGTTTGCTCTGTCCTGCCCCAGCAAATGCCAGGCTTCCAGATGTCTTGAGCCCCTTGGGGCTGTGGATCAGCTGCAGCCTTGGCCAAACTTGGCACGGAGGCATCTGGGTGGGTTATGTGAATTAGATGCCATTGCCCATCTGCTCCTTCTACCCCAAAATCACAAGCTGTGCTGGATGGGTTAAGGCAAACRTCAGAGAGTGGTTGGGGCCAGATGGGACCTCTGGAGCTCCCCCAGTCCAACCCCTGCTCAAGCAGGGCCACCTAGCACAGCTTGCCCAGGGCTGGGATATCTCCAAGGATGGAGACTCCACACCTCTGGACAAGGTGCCCYGGGTTTCTGGGGACCAAGACCTGCCCATAAGCACCACGTTCACCCCGTGCTGGTGGTGGACGAGCCCGGGTGCTGCCGTTCCAGGGCAGCTGCGCTTCTGGAACCCGGACGACCCGGCGGCCTCGCCGAGCGCGGCGCTGCCCGTGCCCGACGGGCTGGAGGAGAAGCTGCAGGAGGTCTGCGAGCAGCTGGGCATCGCCCGCCACGGCCGCGTGCACAGGGAGAAGCTCCTCTCCGTCTGCGAGCAGCACGGCCTCCAGAACGTGGACAGCGAGGTGAGCGGCGTGGCAATGAGGGTGCCCAGGGCCGCCCAAACCCCGCGGGCATCTGCGCAGGGTGCCCCGTGTTCTGCGCAGGGTGCCCCGTGTTCTGCGCAGGGTGCCCCGTGTTCTGCGCTCCAGCAGAAGGCATCGTGCTGTTGCCCATAAGCCTAAAATGCAAGTGTTGATTAGCAGAGTTTCTGCTCTTTGGAAAGCAGATTTGGGCTCTGTTTGCGGCTTCCCAAAAAGTTTGTTGGTTTTTGAACCAYCAAATGGGCAATCCTGCTTGGATAAAGGCAGTCACCAGCCTTCCTGGTGCCCCATACTGGGCGAGTGTCCTCTGCTGAGAAACTGCTGCTGAAAAATGCATCAGATTCTCAGCGTGTCTCCTTGATCTCCGGAATGCTGTAGGAAGCAGGGATCTATTAAAATATTCGCGGGCAGTTGCTTTGACTTTGTTTGTAAAGGCCTCAGGGCTATTTCTGTGATCTAGAAAGACTTTGCAAGCCATTTTTTTTTAAAACAAAATGTTCTCTTGTCAATTTAAGGTTCAGTTTTATAGAAGAAAAGGTTGTTTTGCTGCTTAGAATAATATTTTGAAATGTTTTTCCAGAGTTTGTTTCTGAGGGGGTATTTCTACTTAAGATGTGCAACAAAATATTTTCAGTATGTTACAAGGGGAATCAAAAATTAAAACTACAACAAAAATGGAAACTGAAGGCAAAGGAACGGGAAAGGGTTAATAGCTCTAATCCTAGTAGCCTTGGCTCTTCCTTTAATTAAAAAAAAGGCAGACTGCCCTGAAGTTGGGCACATTTATTGTAACCTGGTGGCGGTGTCGTGTCTGGGTCAGTCGCTGCACAAACCGCTGCGGTTTTAGTGCTTGTTGTGCAGTGACGAGCGCCGAATTCCTGAGGCCACCTGGGCTGGAGAGCCCKGGGACACGGAGCAGAGCCGCTCCAGGAGCCTGCGTGTCCGTGCAGGTCTGCAGTTTTCCTTATATTTATCTATATAGACAGATGATGCAATCGGATGGCATCATCTCCAGCTGCTTGCTCTGGTGATGGTGCAGATTTGGGTCTATTTGCTTTATTGCATTTCTTCCTTTATAAAGACCCCTAGAACCAAGCAGTGCCCGATGACTGCTGTGGTGGTGACYGCTGTTTGGCCGCAGCAAATGTGCATTTTTGACCCCTGCTGCTCCCAGGTGCTCGAGGAGGTGTTCCATAACCTGGAGCAGGACGGCACCGTGAGCGTGGAGGACTTCTTCTACAGCCTCTTCAGGAACGGCAAGTCGCTCGCGCCCTCGGCATCGACCCCGTACAGACAGTTCAAGAGACACCTCTCCATGCAGGTGAGGAGCTTTCTGGAGCAGCAYGGGCCACAGCAGCCTCGTGGCTCTTGTGAGGCCCAGAGCTCACAGATSTGTTGGACTGAATAAGCTTTAAGGGGTGACAACCCAAGTCTTCCAATAGATTATTTTTCCCCAGTCCTATCTCAATTCTGTCACATCATGGTGGCATTAAAAAGCATCACTCTTGCAGCTCATTGAGTGCAAGCCAATCTGCTGGCTAATGGACACTGAAACAGGTCCAAATGCTTCGGAGCGTGGCCAGCCTCCCCTCCCAAGCACTGAAGAGCATCTGCTGGCGCTTGAGACGGCCCATCTGCTCTGGATTTMTGCACCTTACCCAGTGAAAGTGGCCTCTCTGCCAGCATTCACAGAATCACAGAATATTCAAGGTCGGAAGGGATCTCACCTTCTTTCAAAGGAAGGCTGGCTGCTGGGGCCGCTGCAGCTGGCGTGCAGATGGGAAGGGTGCTCGTGTGTGGGCCTGGTGCTACAAGCAGAGCTTTGCAACCCAAAATGTCTCATGCTTGTAGCTGAGCAGGGGGAAGCTCTTCTCATTGCTGGCCAGTGATAGGACAAGGGGAAATGGGTAGACGTTGAAACACARGAAGTTCCGTCTCCAGGTGAGGAGSAACTTCTTTACTGTTAGGGTGACAGAGCAGTGGARCAGGCTGCCCAGGGRGGTTGTGGAGTCTCCTACTCTGGAGGTCTTCAAAACCCGCCTGGATGCCRCCCTGTGCCACATGCTSTAGGTGTGCCTGCTTGAGCAGGAAGGTTGGACTAGATGATCTSTAGAGGTCCCTTCCAACCTTGAATGTTCTGTGATTCTGTGAAAACACGTGGCTCRTGTTGAGGACACCTCCAAAATGGCTCCTCCTTGGATTTGCTTTAACTCCAAAGTGCCTGGTGGCACTGTAGTGTCATCAGCAGTGTTCCCCACCAGCCATTGGCATGGCTGTTGAGGAAAAGAGGACCTTAATATCCGGAGCGCTCTCCCTGTCCCGCAGTCCTTCGACGAGAGCGGGCGGCGCACGACGGCGCCCACGGCCATGAGCGGCACCATYGGCTTCCACGTCTTCTCCAGCCTGGACGACGGCCTGGGCTACGCCTGCGTGGAGGGCATCCTGGACGCGTGGCACCAGGAGGGCGTCCACAACAGCCAGGACATCCTCAAGGTAGCTCAGCCCGGCCACTCTGGTGCTTTTTGACTGTCGCCTTCTGGGTTGCTGTTGGGATTTGAGCTTGGCTTTTGGTTCCCCTCTAAAATTCCCAGTGGGAGTGCAGCTGTTCTTGGGAGCTTCCAGTTTCCATTATGGAAATGATGATGGTGCATCCCAGAGAGGTAAAGGTTTCTGATAAAAATCTGATGCGACCTGCAGCATAGTGTGCGTAGGTCACCTGTATTTATAGGAAGTAATTTAATTCCTTCGCCTTGCTCAGTAGATGCTCCTGCAAACCTAGTGCTCATCTGAATTATTGCCTGTGCTGAAGTGGAGGACAGGATTTAAACTTGCCAATTAGTCTAATATGCTTTTACTCTACCATAAAACTATAATGCTTCAAATGGGGTGCACTGCTCTTKGAAGAGAACCCCTTTCCACCTGCCTCACTATAGGCTGTGGTCAAGCTAAAGGACTGTTTAATGTGTCCATTCTTAGGGCTTCTCTGGTATACCAGCAATGGTAATGACATGTTTTCCTTGTCACTTGATGTCCATGTGCATTTTGGCTGTTGAGGCTGCCGTAAACACTCAGTACAAAATTCAGTGCTCTTGGGCAATTAAATATGCTTTTATTTTGGCTTCATGCAGTTAGGTTTTGATATCTCGGGCTTATTTTGGCCAACGGAGTCACTAAAATAAGGATGTTTGTGTGGGGGGTTATTCTAAAGGTGGTGAGGTCTTCACTCTGAGCTACCTCCTGTAAGACTTCTGCACTGTCTGTATTACAAGACTTGCATTTGTTTAACCCCATTGTTTTCAATSACTTCCTTGCAGCACCTGGACCTTTTCAAAGGCCAGTGTAGTTGAGCTCGCTCTAGAGTTAATACTTCTCATATTTTAGCTTTTGTACTGCTAGTCTGGCAGTATGGGCATGGTATTTTCCATCTCCATAGCTGGCTCTCTAATCCAGGGAGGCCACGGAGGGGATGTGCTGATGTAGGGGCCCAAAATCYGCCCGTAGCAGATTCATCAGCAAGCCAAGATCCTCCTGGAGCCTCCTCAGCCTATTCCCTYCATTTTAAGGTTCTAACGCCCTCGGGCCCTGTGGATGTAAAAGTTGCTCTGTCCCYGTGACTCACTGTTTTACAGGCTCTGGATTTCAGCTTGGATGGGAAGGTGAACCTGACGGAGCTGACGCTGGCTTTGGAAAACGAGCTGTTGATGACCAAGAATGGGATCTATCAAGCAGCRCTGGCGAGCTTCAAGACGGAGATAAGACACTTGCTGTAAGTTGTCAGGATTCCCGTCTCCGCTGCTTCCTCACCGCCCTCCTGGAGGCTTTGCCAAGCCGAGTTTAAGGAGCTGCTGATGAATCACAATTCGTGATGTGTCTCAACAGGGCCCGGCGAGGGCTGCGGTTTCGTGAGGAGTCTCTAGCTTTGGATTTTTGTTGGTTGGAAACAGAATTCTTCACTATTTCATTTTGCTCAGTGAAAACRCCAGGGAAAAAGCCAACTATCTCAGGAAAATGTGCATACAAAACCAAATCAAAGCAGCAGGCTGTTTCTAGCCCTGTTTCCTGGCCTGCAAATGGTCCTTAATGGCCAAGGAAGATGAATCTGTAATTGAGGCTGGTTTGAGCAGTATCCTGAATGCTGAAGGTTTTCGTGCTCAAGTACTGTGGAGGTTATGCCCCGCGATGCGGGGGGGATGTGTTTGAGTCACCAAAACGCCCCACATCTCCTTTTATCATTTGTGCTTCTTTGCAAGAGGTCCCAGGAGAGATTTTGGGTGCTCTTGAGGTCTCTGTGTCTAAGCAGCTCTTAATGGATGTAGATTGAACATAGAGAAAGCCACCTTAGGAGCATGCAACTAAAAGCAGGTTGGTTGTCGTGTGAGGATAGAAGTGGCGAAGGTTACAAAACGACGAGAGCAAGTACATGGGGCAGGTGCTGAGCGCTCAAGGTGTAGGGGGGTACYGAGGTCGGAAAGGAGCTACATGTGCAAGTTCACAGCTAATGAACGAACAGAGGTGATGAGGAATCACCCCCCTGGACCCCGCTCTGTGCAGAGCCTCCTGTGGGCAGCAGCACTGGGTCTGCAGAGCTGGGGAGGAGCGGCCAATGTTAATGTGGTTGCCCTTACCCTAGGGAGCGGGTCGACCAAGTGGCCAGAGAGAAGGAGAAGCTGCGGTCAGACCTGGACAAGGCAGAAAAGCTGAAATCCCTCATGGCCTCCGAGGTGGATGACCACCACGCTGCCATCGAGCGCCGCAACGAGTACAACCTCAGGTAGGCACCGTGCTCTGTCCGAGCTGCTGCCGCCCACGGTGCCCGAGATGGGGCTGGGGGTGAAGCTGGCACCTGGGAGTATTTGCAGCTTAGCTGAAAGCTGCTTTGAGCCTGTCCTTGATTTGGGGCATGCTTGGTCRCTTTAATGCTGTTCTGTGCTTGCCAGATCCATCTGCAGGTCCTAGGGCCACCCAGACCCACTGTCCATCTCTCTTGCAGCATCTCAGCCCTTGCTCTGCTCCCCTTGATCTCCTTGCATTTGCTTCCCCTTCCCAGTTAGTAGGGGGCTGTTGCTGTGAAATAAAAAATATTAATTACGCAGCTGGCAGAAAAAGCAGGTTTCGTCCTAAAACAGCATCCCTCACCAGGCTGGGCTGTATAGCTAAGCTAAACTTCCCCAGGCAGCATATAGCTGATGTGTGCTGCTAATCCGAGCATTGCTCTGTTTCTCCCGAGTGGTCCTTGCAGCCTGCCACGTGCCGGCGCCGATAGCAGCAGCTGGCTTTGCATGTGCTGCCCGCTGCCACAAAGCTAAATTCACAGMGGTATTTGCTGCTTTTCATGGGCTTTTCTTACCTTTGGTGCCTCCGCAGGAAGCTGGATGAGGAGTACAAGGAGCGGATCGGGGCTCTGAAGAGCGAGCTGCGGAGGGAGCGGGAGCAAATCCTGCAGCAGGCCGGTAAGCAGCGGCTGGAGCTGGAGCAGGAGATTGAGAAGCTGAAAACGGAGGAGAGCTACATCCGAGACCGCCTCGCGCTCTCCATAAAGGTACCAGCACCAAGCGCGAGTGGGCTCTGCCCCCAAAAGGCTGAGCTGTTGAGGAATGGGAAGCAGCGCTTGCAGTTTAGCGCTTGTTGGGGCAATCTGTTGTTGCACCTTGTGCTGCTTGTGCTAATTCTAGCTGCGAGGCAGAGGTGTATCTGTAACTGGTTTCTGGGGCCACCTCGCTGGGTTATTCCTTGGGGTTTCCGTTGCTGTCGCGTGCAGCGTGTGCATGGGTACAGCTCCAGGGAGAACGATTTGCCTTGGAGGCACTGCCAGCACATAATGCATCCTGGCAGAGTTTAAAGCTCAAAAATCTCTAAAGCAAGTTTGCTTTTGGAAAAGGCCTGCTGCCTAGTGACTTTGGAAGGTGGCAGCTGCCTTACCTTGGCTGAACTTTGCACGCTTTARGAGGTGAAGGTAGCAGTGTTGTCTTAATCCCAGAAGTCCTGACAGCGGGAGGCCATGTATCTTTTAAAGATGCTCTGGAGTACAGTTTTTAAAGRCATTGGGCATCCCATAAATGTTAAGAAAATGAAAATATTCTTTCTGAAGCAGTGATTTGAAGACTGAGGAGGAGCATGATTTGGTGCAGGATGCAGCTAGTCTGTGCCTTGGAGGCTGCAAGCCTGAGCTTCATGCATCTTGTTTTAATGTCCCAAGAGCAGTGGCCTTTGCATGGAGAACAGAAAGACAAATTCACAGTTCCTATCGCTAGTGGAAAATTTTAATGTTCTGACTTGAACAGGAGGCAGTTGCCATGAGTTATCACTTTGACAAGGAAAACAGTAGGAAGTGATAAGGTGGCTTTGGTTTTGTGCAGGAGAACAGCCGCTTGGAAAACGAGCTCTTGGAAACTGGAGAAAAGCTGCTCGAATACGAAAGTCTGGCGAGCAAACTGCAGAGGAACTTGGAAAATGTGCTGGCGGAGAAGGTAAATCCCTCCTCTCCCCTATGTGCTTGCAGTTAAGTCTCTTTTGAATTGATAACAMTCAAGGTGCCCACTGAGGAGCAGGAGCTCTGGGGGCAATGAGCCTCACCCTGACCAAGGCCACGTGCCAAGTGGGGTACCTGCCTCATGGGCAGCCCGACTTGGGCTCCAGCTCAGCAAAAGTACGTCAGCTTAGGTGTGGTATTAAATTAATTGGCAGTGAAGAGCCTAACAGTGAAACAGCCACTCCACAAATCCACAGGGATGTTTCTTGTCCTGGTAGATAGACTTGGATAGACCTGGGATGCAAGTCCTTTCTGGGGAGGCTATTAAATACCAATGTCTTTATTTGCTCAGACTTTAGCTGCAGAAGCAAGGGGGGAAAATGAGCTTGGTTGGGCTATGTTAAACTGTTCCAAATAGCAGCTTCTAAGAAGGCATTTCTGTGTAGGTGCATCTCTGGGCAAATGTGCACATCCTGGGGCTCTTGCCCAATACCTCTTTCCCAGACTACTTTAAGGTTGGAATTGTTCAACAAACTACAATTCCTTGCCTTAAATTAGAAGGGTGTCATATGGAATCAAACTTTATCTAACATGGGAACTGAGATGGGGGGAAAAAAAAGATAATATTTGGTAGGAAAGTAGTTGCAGAGCTTTATTTAAAAAAAAAAAAATAAAACAGAGGAAAGAGGGAGAAGGCTGCAAGACTGCTGTAGAGCTGCGTTGGGCTGCAGGCCAGGGGTATTTGGAGGAGGAGCAACTGGYCTGTGTTTGTGCTTTCCAGTTTGGCGACCTCGATCCCAGCAGCGCTGAGTTCTTTCTGCAGGAGGAGCGACTGGCGCAGATGAAGAGCGAGTACGAGCTGCAGTGCCGGGTGAGCTGGGCCCACCACGCCAGTGCTCGCTGACAATGTCCCTGCTGCTGTTTTCTCCCTGCCCGATGGCTCTTTCTTGCTTTAACCCAAGCTTTGGATGGAGAAAATCCTTGCTGTGGAGGCAAATGCCTGCGCTGAGGTGCCTTGGGGGTGCACGGGGACAGGATCTGCGGAGCTTCCTTTGATTAGCAGATGTGAAGTTAGCTTACTCAATATTTAGTTATGCACGAGCTGCTTTCCCACTTGTGAAATAGCTTTGCCCTAGTTTGGAGGCAAAGATGTAAGAGGTAACAGCAGAAATGCAAAGCACAGGTGGTGGTTTCTAAAACAGTAGCGTTTTAGGCAAATAAAGCTAATAACTTCAAGCTTGTCTTCTGCTCTTCCCAAATCCTGTGCTGCCAAGTACTCTAATTTAGCCCTAAAAGTACCTACCTATGTATCTCCTTTCTGATACCAGCATGGTTGCATGGCACATGCATCCAACTCATCTCTTCTGCGTTATCCTTTCTGCTTGGAAAAGGACAGTCTTGGCAAATCCTTGTGTGTAATGCAACACAGCAGCTCTGCCAAGAAGCTGCAGCTCAAAACCAAGGGCTTTTTCTAAAACTMGTTGCTGAATTCAATACATCAGGATAAGAATTTGCTTGAAAACRCAACTGCATTTTTTGAGTGTTGATTCAATTGATACTCAAACCTGATTCAATCCTGGAGATTTTTTTCCTTCAACCTTTCTGATCTGCCAAATTATGTTTACACATTCATGGACTCATTTTCCTTTGTAAACACTGCTCATTGAACTCAGCGCATCCCACTTGGCACGGACACTTGGGATACTCTCCTTGGCAATGGGCAGAAGTGCCAGATGGCAGATCACAGTAATGAGGGTGTCTCTTTCCCAAGTCGGTCTCTTGCTGTTGATTTGATTTATGTTTTTTTAAGTAGGTGTTTGAGGTGTTTATTGGGTAGGTTCAAAGTTTTCCCAAAGTATTCCTTTTCCCAAGGGAGAAGGAATATAGTGAAAGGTGCTGGAGCGGGGTATGCTTCAAATGCAAAATATATGCATACTTCTGGAATGAATATATGTTCTTCTTGACAGTGAGGGTGACCGAGCCCTGGAACAGGTTGCCCAGGGAGGTTGTGGAGTCTCCTTCTTTGGAGACCTTTAAAACCYGCTTGGACGCAGCCCTGTGCCACRTGCTCTGGGTGACCCTGCGTGAGCAGGGGGGTTGGACTAGATGACCTCTGAGGTCCCTTCCAACCTTAAGCATTCTATGATTCTATGCATGCTGTAAATCTGGTGCTGTTTTGGTGAGCAGACACATCTCACAGAATCACCGAATGTTCAAGGTTRGAAGGGACCTCTAGAGATCATCTAGTCCAACCTTCCTGCTCAAGCAGGCACACCTACAGCATGTGGCACAGGGTGGCATCCAGGTGGGTTTTGGAGACCTCCAGAGTAGGAGACTCCACCACCTCCCTGGGCAGCCTGTTCCACTGCTCTGTCACCCTCACAGTGCAGAAGTTCCTCCTGTGCCCCTCGCGTGGGTAGGAACCTGGAGAAGGACGTTGTCGTCTGGCCGCCAGGAGAGCGGCTGCTGGAACGTTATCTCCGAGGCTTTGCCCGCAGCGAAGCCCTCCGAGCGCCGYGGCGTCGGCGTGCCCGGCGTTCCCCGGTCTTGGTTGGTCACCCGGGCGCCTCCTTTCCCTCCCGCAGGAGCTGCAGGACCGAGTCGACGAGCTGCAGGCCGAGCTGGAGGAGTTCCGCGCTCAAGGCARGGCCCTTAGGCCGCCTCTGAGGAGCTCGCTCTCCGAGGAGCTCGACGTGGATGTTAAAAGCCATGGGAACAGCGGCATTGAGCCTGACCAAGGTAGAGCTTGGTTCCCTTATGGGAAACGTCCCTCTATAGATATTTATTTGGATATATAGGGTTTGGATACAATTCCAAACTTTCCAAAACTTTCATAGTGAGACTTCTTGAACAACACCTCCATTTTGCTTTTAATACCAGGCAGAGTGTGGCTGCTGTAGTATAATTAAGGCTAAAATGAGTGTTTATAGCTTCTACTTAGGTATGTGCCAATGGAATTTGAGAGGGCTGGAGGAGSTGCCTAAACAAAAATAAAGTGATGAAATAGTTCACTTGTAGCTGTAGCTCTTCGGGTTTCAAGAGCATGTATAATTATTTTCCAAGGGCTTGGATCAGAGGACTGCAATCCACTAAACATGAGCATAGAAGCAGAAATGGTTATTGAGCAAATGAAGGAGCAGCATCACCAGGACGTTTGTCACCTCAAGCAGGAGCTCGAAGAGACAGTAAGTTGTTTTAACTTGGCA